TTTTTTTTCATTAATTTGATATTCAGTAGAGATGGAAGTAGTAAGTAGACGACACGCGAATTGTGATGCGTACCCGGTGAATGTGAGATTTCGCAGTTGCAAGTTCAGAAATTCAGATTCTCGTTCTATGTAATAAGAAGCGTCCAACGAACCATTTGATCCCTTTTAATTTCTCGACCTTTGTTACAAAGATTTTACTTGATATATCACGAATTCGAGAAGGTATCACACATGCGGTCTCAAACTTTGCTTTTAGCTCGATTAGTAGTGATAGATTGCAATTTTTCATGTAACCCTTTCCTGAATATTAAACTATGAACTGAGTTACGACAAGTAGCGCTTTCGACGTTCGCGACAGCAGCGCGAAGGTATCTCGCGATTGCATATGAAATGATTTGATATGCATTAACTGATGTTCGAATGTAAATCTACCTTTTTTAAATAGTATGCAGTTAAAAATCTGCTCAAGTTTCTTCAGGATTCCATGTGTTACTTCTTCGTAAAAATTACATCAAATCCTCAGATAACACCCAACCTATTCACTGGCCATCTCATTTCGCATTGGAGCCGTAGACAAGTTGAAAGTGCCAAAATAGGTATAGAAATTGCCTTGCAATGTAGTAAACAAAGCACAATCTCGAACTCAATAAAGAAGTAAATTACAATAGCCAGGTTTGCCGTAAAATAATCTCCAAATTGAGCTATAAGTATTATAAACAAACATTCCTCATCTCAAAAAACGGGTAGAATACTGTAAAACAAGCAAGTACTCAATCAATTTGGACATTCAACTCAGCTCATTTTCTTTTCGGGATTAGGCAAAGCCTTTATGTGCCTTTAAACCGAAATAATGAATGTAAATAATGAACAAAACCTTTAGATAATTCAGTAGCTTTTATGGCATACCAAGATAGTTGTCTCATTTACTTTTAATGAATTTTGCAGATACTAATCGTGCTTTGTCTTGCAGACGGCATCAATGGTTTCTCCATATTTCTCATGGGATTAAATCGTATGCATCTTTACACTGAGGTAGACCTTGACGAAATAATTTCACTATTTTTAATTATCAGTAATTATCTAGAGAACATTGAGCTTTGTGTAGGTGATGGAAACGCTTACGATTCCAGTTCGCACGGCATGGGAGTGTGCTCTTGAACCATGGCTTTTTTTCAAAGGATGCGGTAAATATAAAATTCTAAGCTTTTGTTGGTACAAGTGGGAAAGTGTGGCATTCATATGTGTGGTGCATTAAAAAGAAGTTAAAGGTGATTTATGGCCTCCCACTGTGCAACTTGCAATGGGGGTAGATCGTTGCGCAGCAGTATTTAATCCGATAGTTTATAACAAAAGAATATTTAGAAGGTAAGAAAGCTTGAGGAAAGAGTTATATGGAAATCTAATTTTCTCTTAAACTCACTGTCGCAGTTCAAATATCTTCAGAAGGGGAAACTTCCTTATCGTGACGTTAATTTGTGTCTTCTGCGAATTAATAGTGGGATACATCATGTCGTGGACCATGCGATCAGTCAAGGTACATGGCATAAAATTGGTATCATTTCTGAAAAACCGCGAGCAAACTCGGAAGCTAGGTTTCAGAAAAACCTTTTGCTTCTTTATAGGCGAAGTACTATTGTGGGAGGAAAGCAGCTTTCGGAGACATTTATGCTTCTTTTGTGTACGGGATGAACATTGTGTTTTATCTGCTAGCTTTTGCACTCACATTAATGTCCTATTTTAAGTCACAGTACTGGATGGATACAAGGTACTGTTTATCTCGTCTAACTAGTTCTTGTTACAATTACATCAACCTTCCCATTACAGTACAGCAAAGCGGCAGCTGGCACGAATACGATATCAACTTATGATCTCCGTACTGTCTATTATTTTGGTCTCTACTCCTAATGGAATCTCATTGTTATCCCAATACATTACAGATGTGGGTTTGCTAAGAAAGAAATTTATCGCTGAAAAAGATAGTTTAGGTTGCGGATGCAATATCAAAGCCATCGACTTATCTTACATGCATAAACTCAGCCATAAACATCGTTGTTTATATTGTATTCTTTGAAGAATTCCGTGAGGAATTTTTGAGAATTGTTTTGAGAAAGAGGCAAAAAGCACAAGTTTCGCCG